ATCGAGTATTATCAGAAAAAAATTCAATACCATGTTTATATCTTCAATTTTGTGCTTTCGCTTAGAAAATAAAGCAAAATATATTTCACTGAGGGGTGGTTCCATGGACAGTTTAACCTTAAACCAACTCATGAAATAGAGGATATTTCAAAAAAGTTCATGTGAGGATAGGCTATATAGTTTTTGTTAATGTGGAGACTGTTTACTTTAGTCTCTCCTGATCTTTGTGAGTTTAACAATGAATATTTGAAAAATGGATGCTTTGTCTCATCATTGTGTGGATAAGGTTTTGGAGTATAAGTGTTTGTGCATCTTTATATGAGAGTTGGAGGTAGATGATGAAACAGTTTAACACTGAAAAAATAGAGTTTAACTTCTTCAGTTATTAAGAGAGAAAGAAGGGAGGGATGGAGGAAGGAAGGAGGGAAAGCGGGATGAGGAAGGGGGAGAGAGAAGGAAGGGAGAAAGTGTACAGGCAGCCATGGAAACCTAGATGACAGAACTTTACACTCCTGGAATTTCAGAGCACGTGGCAAAGACTGGTACTGATGGTGGGTGGGAGACTTAAGTGATTCCACTGGGCGGTAGCAGGACTGACTCTCACACAAGTTGATCTTTGATGTTTTAAAACCTCTCAGAGTATATGTTTGGTCTGCATTTCTTTCTCTGAGGCCCTGTACTGGCCACTTCTTCCCTCTCTTGAGTTCTCCTTCCCTTTTACATTTCCTTGGGGATGGCCGGGCTAGAAGGTGCCTGGTGTGCGGCCTGCCTCCAGCCTGGTGCCCCTCACTGGCAGACTCTGGGGAAGTGGGGAGGCGTGTGTGTGCTTGCTCAAAATGCTGGAATGCGTGGGCTCTGTGGCTCATGCTTCCTGGGAATGTGTCACAGACAGGCTCCTTCAGGGTCTCAGTGGTCGTGGGGGTCAGTCCTTGTAGGCTTTTGTGAGGGGTTGAAAACTTGGGAAGGGATTTCTCAGTGCTGAACGTTTAGGCCACTCCCCCCCCCCCAAGTGTATTTGTATTTATTCTTTGTATAGAAAAAGATATACTGACAACAACAGCAATAACCACTGAAGAACAGAAAGAAAAAAATATATGGATGCATAAATAACCATAAAGACCATAAATGGTCTTTCTCCTGGATCCAGCTGCACTCTTTTCCCTCTTCTCTTCAAACTGATGGTGATGTCTTCAAATCGTGGACACTGAATTTACAAACTAACTGCTTTAAAACTCCCTGAATTGTGTCGCTGCTAAAGATGATGAAAATCAAGGATCTTTAGAAACTAGATTTTAAGTTCAGATTTTTTTCTTAATGTAGGATTTAATCTCCTTTTTAAGGAATAAAGAACAAACTGCTATTGGTTAATATATATTTTTTTTTGGTTGCTTATTTTTTTTAATTTAGATTTTTTTTTCCTTCACAAAAGATTTGAAATGACAAAGGTGCTGGTGGCTCCATTATTTGAAAAGAAGACTGGGATTTAGGTGTATGAAGTAGATAAGTTAAAAAGGGACTCTGTTATGAGTTATAAAGGACTGAGCACAGGTGGCTGGTTCTTATGTAATTCTTTATACATCTTAAGAGATTTGCCAGGGAAGAATTATCTCTTTGGTTCATTGATTTTTGTGTTAATGATTTGCTGTATGTATCTGTTTCAATAGTGATTTCAAAACAGTCATTTTGATATTGAAAATGACTTGTGGCTTTAGTTCACTTGTAATAATCATGGTCAGGGTGTTAATATGTGCATGTGTGCTCCATTGCCTCCAACTCTTTGCGACCCCATGGACTGTGTAGCCTGCCAGGCTCCTCTGTCCATGGGATTTTTTTTCAGGTAAGAATACTGGTGTGGGTTGCCATTTGTTCCTCCAGGGGGATCTTCCTGGCCCAGGGCTCAAACCCACATCTCCTGCATTGGCAGGCAGATTCCCTGAGCCATCAGGGGAGCCCCACGGTGTTAATACCTGCCTTAAAAAATTTCGAGGCCCAAGTCACATCTTTTATTCCCCACAGTAGTGCTTTTAACTGTGTGTTCCACAGAGCCTTAGGATTCTGAGGAGATGCCAAATTTATGGGAAGAGGGGGTAGACATATGTACCTGGGGTTCTGGCTTCTTACCTTTCAATCAGGAGACAGCTGCATTCATTGCTGTTTTGCATTTTCATTGGCTTAGAAAAGGGGGTTGCTGCCCTGAAGAAACACTTGAGAAGTATCTGCCCTATAGTATGTAATTCTGAGCCTTGAGTCCATTCATTCCTTGATCAGGTAGTCTAGCAGATGCAAAGCTCTCTCCTGAGGAAGTTTAGACTCTGCCTCCCTTACTTCTGAATCCTGTGGCATGGCCTTCCATCTCCTGTCACTTTCGCTTTAGTAACAAATGTTTGCTTTGCCAACTGCATGCCAGACTACTAAATCTATGGATTTTTCTACAATCCACAGCACAGATTGTTTGCCCTTCAGGAACTTTGCAGGGAGCTCCTTGGGCAATGGTTGTACTCTAGCTCTTGGCAGAGCTGTTAGTGTCAACTGACTTTTGAAGAGTGAAGGATCTGGTGACATGGGACCCACTCATTCATCAAGAACAAGTTTCTACTTTGGGAGGTCCAAACAAGATGGCCTTTCTATCCCTTTTTCAAGCCGATCAGCTCTACTTTTATCTGTTATATGTTGGGTTCCGTGAACACAGAGGTGATCGTCAGAATACCTTCACCTGATTAGAACTGGACTTCCCTGGTGGCTCAGACAATAAAGAATCTGCCTATAGTGCGGGAGGCTCAGGTTTGATCCCGGAGTTGGGGAGATCCCCCAGAGAAGGACTTGGCTACCCACTCCCGTATTCTTGCCTAGAGAAGTCCGTGGACAGAGGAGCCTGGTGGACTACAGTCCATAGCGTAGTAAAGAGTCAGACAGGACTGAGCGAATAACACTTTCACTTTTCAGAATGGATGCCCAGCAAATCAGAAGGGACATGAGCCATTATACTCTGACACACACACACTTCAGTGTCAGTCCAGCATGTAGGATTCTTGTTCAAAAATAAGATATTACTAAATATATATATATATATATATTTCAGTGATTTCTTAACCTGTGGCCAAAGAGTCTTGGGCCAAGTCCTTATAGTCTTGAAGGAAAGACTGGGACACTGCCCTCTGAGCTCTCCTCCATGCCCCTGCGCTTCATCACTCTGGCTTCTTGTAGACTGGTCTTCAAAGACTGATGATTTCATATTACGCACTCAAGTTTTATAGTAAGACTGTTCTAAGACTGTATTTATGAGGGTCCACATTCAGATGTCTGTAAATGACATAAGTGGTAGCATGGAGGAGTTCTGTGGAGTATAAGAGGCCTAATGGGGTATAGGAGGCATAGGTTTAGTCAGCTACAGTCAAAGTCAGAGTTCTTATTTTAAATATTTAAAATTTTCAACCATTGAAAAAATTTTGGAGACACTGTGAGAGTCAAGAAGAGAGCAGGTTAATGTGGCTCGTGGGTTGCCAGTTTGCAGTTTCTGCCACATGAAAATCTGCATCTTCTGCGAAAGTATTGTTGAGGACACTTCATTATGTCTAATATCTCTTACCCTTAAGGCTCTCTGTGAATGAGAGGGAAAAGTACTTCTCTTGATAAACTGGATAAACTCGTATGTCTCTTATCTAATGATGATAGCTATTTGAAAGCTCAAAACTAAAATTAGGTCTCAGAGCAACCATCCTTAGTTTATTTTTCAGGAATAAATATTTTCTCCATTTTATGGAGCACCCTATAGTGTTTATGTAGTGATCTTATTTTGTTTCTGTTATATTTGGCCATCTAAAATCTTTTGGTAAATACAGAATGTACATATGCTGAATATGTGACACTCATAAGTTTGTATAGTATTTCGGAGTACACATTCATTAGGAAAAAACCTCTATTTTCTCATGTAATTGGAGGAACATGTTTCCACATCGGTCAGAATTCTTCTCCAATTAAACACTGGGCAAACTATAGATAATGGTTTAAACCATTTCCTAAGAAAATACAGTTCTTGTATGTCCAGCAAAGTTTTTTTAAAAATAAGAACTTGAGTTCTGCCTATAAGCCAACATCTGATATAAGACATGTAGTTTTAAAAGCATAGAGTGTACTTAGTAGGAAAATTTGGTGGTGAAAAAAGACGTGTTTTTAAATATGTTTGAGAAATGTTTTGGTGACTCTTGCACTTTCTGGTGTTTAAGTTGAGGAAATTGAAGGCCGTATGGATTCTGTTTCTGGGCCCTAGGTATGATAAATACTCATTAAGGCCAGACTAAATGAAAACTGCCAATTGCCTAAGGGACCTTTTAAAAAACTGAAAAACAACTACTCTGACAGTTGGAATTAGCATTTTTCAAATGTATCTTTTTGTTCTGTAATTTATGTGCATAATGAAATAGCTCTCTAGTGATCACCAAGTTAGGTAAAGCACTTGTTTTGGAGAACGTTGTAAGCAAGTCATTTATGGTCAGGCATGATGGAGCGAGGGCTTCCCAAGTGGCGCTAGTGGTAAAGAACCTGTCCGCCAATGCAAGTAGACCTAAGAGATGTCGGTTCAATCCCTGGGTCAGGAAGATCCCCTGGAGAAGGGCATGATGACCCACTGCAGTATTGTTGCCTGGAGAAATTGCATGGACAGAAGAGCCTGGCTGGCTACGGTCCACAGGGTCACACAGTGGGGCATGACTGAAGCTATTGAGCACGCACATCTCATAGTGGAGTGGACAGCTTGGTAACACGTCAGTTGATTGAATTGTGAGGTGATAGGAAAAGTGATGCCATGGTAAAAAGAATCTTGGGGGGAGAGCAGCTTTTAAGAGGGAAATCAAGTTTTGGGTATATTGAGTTTGATGTCATATGAGATATGCAAGTAGAGATACTCTGAAAGCAGCTACTTGATGCAAGACTGAAATTTAAGTTAGATATAATTATTAGAATTAAAGTATAGTTTTAAGAGGAGATTTTTTTTTTCCTCATAGGGAATTTTGTAGACGCTCTTGATCTTAGGATTTATTGGAGCTTAAAACGCAACTCATCAAGGGGTAGGTGGAATATGGACTTTGGAATCAAAATCTACTGAATTTAGACCCCAGCCATGTTGCTTACTAGTATCTTATCTTAGAGCCTCAATTTCAGCTGTCAAATGGGATTCTAATACTAAATAATTAATGTTACTATGTAGTTTATATAACCATGTATTAACATGCTTGACACAGAAAAAAATTACAAATATTGCATCTCTCCATTTATTCACCTTAAATTTGTACTGGAACTAAATGCCTCACTCCAAAAACAAAAGTTAGCAAGTCATCTGTATAACCCATACAGAATCTGGGAATTCAGGGTTTTAAGTGACTCTCCTTGCTTGTGATGGATCTAAACAGTCATCAGTTCCAAAAAAATAGCTAACTATATTTTGGGGGCTGGTCTTTTGAATTTTAAAAATTTCAAGTACCGTGAGATCTGGTCTTATTTTTTATTTCCACTGTTGCATCTTGAATGCCTTGAATACTGGAAACAGCTGCTCATTAATTATTTTTGAATGAATTAATTAAAATTAAAGTCATAATAAGATCATTAATAATTTACTTTTTTTCCTCCCTCCTTTTCTCCTCTTCTTTATTTTCAAACAGGGTGGGGGAAATAGTAGTTCAGAGACTGTGCTTTTTTGTGAGTGGAATTTTCAAACTTTTGACTTACTCTTTGGCTTAATTAGAATGAAACCTTCATGGGCATTTTAGGTATGAAATCTTTTTAAACTGAGTTGAGCTGTAAAAGAGCAGTTGCACAAAGATACAAAATGAATATTGGAAAGCAAAGATCTAGATTTGGTGGAACCAGAATAAGTTTTGCATATCAGTCTTTTAAAAAAAAAAGTAAAAATAGATTAATCTTAAACTCAGTATGATTACATGAAAATACAATTTTCCCTGTAGATTTTTCTCTGTATAACCCAAATTGCATTAAAAATCTGCTGAGAATCACAGAAAAACCTATTTGATAAAAACAGAAGCAGCTGTCCTATTGCAAGATAATAAGTGGATACAAGAATCAAACTTAAGGTGTGTTTTTTTATGTAGTAAATCAAATATCAGTTTAAGCTGTCAACCTCGAAAGTTATTGTGGAATAAACTGACAAGTACAAAAATGACAGGATTTACCAATGGGTAAGATAATCCATAGCCAAGGTAGTGACTGATCTTAAATGTTAATTGCAAAGCAAGATGCTGTCAGATGCTCTGTATTAGTAACCTATTGCTGCATACAAATTACCCTAAAATTTAGCAATTTGAAACAACCAATGTTTATCATCTCACATATTTTCTGAGGGTCAGAAACATGCAGCATTTTAGCTGGGTTGTTCTAGCTCAGCGTCTTTTGTGAAATAGCAGTCAAGTTGCCACCCGGGTCTGTAGCTATCCGAAGACTCAGCTGGCCTGGAAGATCTGCTGCGAGGCTCCCTCCTGGGGCTGTTGGCAGGCCTCAGTGTCTTTGTGCCTGTGGGCTGGAGGGCTCCGTTCCCCACAGCATGGGCTTCTCCGTGGGTCTGTGCACAGCACGACAGCAGGCTTCCCTGAGTGAGTAATCCGAGCAAGAGTGACACCACACAGCCTTTTATGGCCGAGTCACTGCCTTGCACGTTGTCACTTCTGCCTTATTTTGTTTGTTAGATACAAGACTGTAGTTCTGTCCACACTCAAAGGGAAGGGATTACTCAAAAGGTGAATACCAAGAATTAGAGATCATCAGAGACATTTTAGGGTTGAATTAAGTCAATCAGGAAAAGTCAGCAAGTCAAAGAGAGACTTGGTTGCTTTGGCACTTATACTGAAAAGAATAATCCCCTTGTATTAATATTTTTGATTAACTCCTTTTGGAGTAAAACTGAAATTCCTTATAAAACGGCAGTAATAACAGTTACAGTTTATTGATGCCTTTTATACTCCTTTTTTAATTTTCATAACACCTTGTAGGGTGAGAAAGGCAGATACTACTACTATATTCATTTCTTAGATTAGAAAACTGAGACCCAGATTGTTCAGAGTACTTAAGACAGGGTCACTTACTCAGTATTTAACTTGAGTTGTTTCCTTTTCTTTTTGTTTTATGCCTCTTTCTGTTCTTTCTCCTGAAGAATGATTTCAGTTACTTTACATTTTATAAAACACAATTTAATTTCCCCTTTCAATTTAATCTAAAAGAGTTGATTTAAAAAAAAAAAGCCAAATTGAGAAGTTTAAAACACTCTTCTTGTACTATCAATAAAGATGTCACTTTTCTGCCAGAAGCAAGAGTCCTTTTTGCTATTTTTGTAACTGGGTGAGGTCTTATTTCTCCAAAATTGTGCCATGCTGTGGTTAGCCATGGTCTACAAGAGGAAAATATATTTACCCTTCTTTAAAATCGTTGGTTTTCTAAGAAATATGCTATTTACTATACCAAATCTGAGAAAATCTTTCTCAGGCAAAATGCAGCGGTCACTTTGATACCAGACAAACTAGTTCTCTTCCCCACTAAAAATGCAAAACAGCAGGCCCTCTGATCTTTGGTACCTGCCTTTGTTATACATTTATTTCTTGAAGAAATTTGTTGAATAGTCATATCTTTAAATTTTTATTGAATCTCAGTGCTTACTTTACTTCCGTATGCTTACTCTACTTGCATATACTTCCCATAAAACATTCAATCTTTTCTCTTAAAGGTCTTGATAACATGATAGTTAATGTGAAGTGAAAATTTATTTTGAGGATTTATTGTATAAAACAAAGGAAAATATTCAGTAACCTATAATGGAAAATAATCTGAAAATATACATATACAACTGAATCACTTTGCTGTTTACCTGATACCAACTCAATATTGTAAATCAACTATATGTGAATAAAAAAATTTTTAATTTAAAAAAAAAACCAAAAAATCATATTTAACAATGTCAAATCTCAAAACATTAAAAACTTGATAAAATTAATTTGGAATAAAAAAGATAAGTTATGTTGGTTGTTTCCTTATAAACTTGGACAAACTGAGGCTTATGGAATATCTGAGTCCTTTGGGAATATCTGCTCTTTTGGAAAGATGGGTGCTTTCTATATTGTTTTAAAGAACCACTAGTGGTAAATATAATACAAAATTTTCTACACAGGTTATATATACTAGTCCATCAAAATTTATTATTATCCTTTGCCTACTTTGCTCCCTTTTTTATGCTCTGAGTTGTTTTCCTCTTCATAGTTAAAAATTTCGATACATTTTTTTCCCATAAAATAGTCATGATTTCAGTGTTAATTTTTTTTTTTCTTTGAAGAGCTAAGAGAGAACACCCCAACTATCTTCAGTGGAGAGGCTGAGTTTAAGATTTATTTCAGATTTTTATCATTTTCAAGTGTTAGGAGGTTAAAGGTGAGCATGAATATGAATTCTGTGAGCTCAGAGGAGCAACTATGACATGTAAATCTACACTCTTTCTTATTATTGTTGATTTCCTTAATATTTTAACTTCCTGTGGATATGTACCCAAAGAAATGTATTTTTTCCTCATTCTTCCTCAGTGACGTTTTGTTGTAAGCCCATCCTGGGGGTCAGGGAGCAGAAGCCATCAAGCAGTCTGAACTCCTTCCCCCTCAGGTGACTCACTCAGGTCTCAGATGATCTTGGCTTTTCCTTCTTAATTTGCCTTCCGGTTGATTTGTTTTTCAAGTCAAGAAAAGCAGCATTTGGGAAAGAAGGTCCTGTTTGGTGATGCCATTTCACAGAAATACACAGGGGTCTCTGTCTACAGAACATCTCACCACAGGAGCTGTCCAGAGTTCAGTTAGGACCCCACTCATCTGAGTGGTCCTGGGTGCATGGAGAGGCTCTTGAGGATGGAAACACACATGTTTCCTAGATTTTCAGAAATGCTTATGGACCAGTGCAGTCGGCATTTGACCTTAGATATTCATGGAGGTATCTTACAGCCTGGAGCCATGGAGCCGTGCATTGTAGCATGAATGTGGTTGGGCATTTTCCATAACTAAACACATCAGATCCTCCTCTCTGAAAATATCAGTGGTATCAGTTCTGAATTTGGTTGATGCTGTTCAATTCTTGACCTGAGGTTATGGTTAGAATTAAATGTATTGAGGCCTCATCAATTCAGACTCATTCAGGTAAGGGAAAGATGAATGATAATTCATAGAATACTCAGAATAGGTAGATTTTAAAAAATTATATTACTTTCAATTAAGAATGGTAACCTGAATAAATTAACAAAATGTTGCTGAGGAGCAGTCCTACTAGACCTTCTTATTGAATGCTGCTGCTTAGGGAAAATTATATTCATGATATCAGTTATATATAAATACTCCCAAAATGTGTTTAAACAGCTTATTCTCTTGAGTAGTTTACCTGTTCTGATTTTGTTTACATTGATTCTGTTTTTTTTTTACATTGATTCTTTTGTTAAGTAAGCACTCCTTTCTTTTTTTTAAGTTTTTTTTTAGTCTTTTATTATTTTTTAAAGAAAAGATAAATTCTAGTTCTGTCCTATTACAATTAGAGGTAATGACATTTCACTATTTGATGAGTGGTAATAATATTTCACTATTCAATGAGCTGAAATCTTGATTTTTTCTTTAGGTTTTCAATGCCCTTGGGATGCAGATAGTTAATATGTGGGTACTACCTTTTTTGGAAGAATTTAGGATGATGCCTTCATAACTTTCACATAATAGAAAGTGGCTGAAAATCTATCCATTCAAAAGAAAGCATTCAGTTTGAATCATGGCAATCCAGTACTACTTAGAAAAATTGAAGAAAGTACCTCTTTTTGGATTTTTTTTCATTTGGGAAATATTCTCCAATAAGAATTCAATAACCAGCAGTACTTAACTGGGGGCTGTTTTACATTTGATCATTTGCCATTTGATTCTGTACTATCCTTTAAAGGTAAAATGTAAATACATTTTGGTGTTTTTTTTTTTAAGGTATTGTGGAAGAGTTCGAAGGTTGAGCCTATCAAGCTGCATTTGTCTGAAATAGAGTGATAACC